AGGTTGTTTGTTAATCTCAACTAATTTGAACACACAACCAAGCGCTGCTTGTGCATAGCATGTAACAAGGTAGGTACCAATGCCAAATGCATCTACCTCGTGACCCTACATAAAATTATCAATAATCACGTCCCACATCATAGCAAGGTTATAAAAGGGATACACTGAGCATGCGAATATCCAACACAGGCTTTTGAGACTGTTTCTGCAACTCTGTTGTCAATAAATACCAAGAAACAAAGGGTTTACAGTAGTCAGTAGCAGATTTCAATGCCACCATGACACCATCACCCTAGCTGATAAGAAGTATTTTTAAGCAATTTTTTATATTATATATAGTTAGCAGGACCAGCCAGGATAGCTGGGTCCAATCTGTAGTTAATATCGACATAAATCGTTGTGCAAATCAGAATATATCAGTTACTCCCTCCATCCCATAATATAAGGGATTATTCCCTTTTGGGTAAGTTTAAGGATATCAAGAAAATACTAGAATGCCCCTATTAAATGATATTTGATTATAGGTGAGTGGGTAGTTGAGGGTTAAAATAGGTAAAAATTTGAATTGGAGTTGATGGATGTGACAAGTAGTACATCAAAATCCCTTATATTGTGGGACAACTAGAAGGGGCAAAATCCCTTATATTGTAGGATGGAGGGAGTAACTTCAGAACACAGTTAGATTGAAAGACTGGATGGTATGGCATCACAAACCAATTCTTCACAGCTACTCTGAAGTACAGCATACCTGCTTGTTCAAGGCATCAATTGTTTCCTCATTTAGGTCATTGCTCGCTGTGATATTCATTTTTCCAAAGCCAATAAACCCAAATTCTTCTTCAATTGCACGGAAGAACTTACGAGTTTCAACGGATAAGTATGCTAAGTCACCAGAGTCTAATCTAATTCCAGCCGCCTTATACCTGAAATGAAAATTTTCAGAGTCAATAAAAGCGAGACATTACCTTTCCCTTTTAATCATGACAGGAAAAGCAACAGCATAACAAGAAAATCCATCCATTCGTAGGTTCATTTGTTAAAACATCAAAGCAACTAGCATTCGACATGCGCCTCCAGCAATACACAGAATCTATATTTGTACAGTATATAAAAAAAAATGTCATTAAGGAAAACAATTTCTAAAACAGGGAGCTGACTAACCATGTGATGTTTTGGGAGATTGTGCTCAAGATGCTTGTTTGAACTACTTTGTACACTATATCACATCATTGGTACTAATAAATGAGTCCTAAGAGTAACTACTTAGGCACCAACGAACCATTGGAGTAAAAGAAATATATTGAAAGTGTACACATTCACCCATGCAAACCCTTTTTTTTGACAACAGTGAAGGAAACTACGTAGTAGAATTTAATAGCAAGGTGACACCCAGAGTGAGAACCCTCCTTTTTTAGTTGTGTTATTCATTGGCTATAACTTCCCATGTAATAGAAGCAAGTTGTGCAAACACAAGTATTACCGAGAAGAGTTGAGGCTAAATTACCCCATATCATTGAGGGCTAAAGCAACAGCACAGAAGTTTGGCACTCCACTTCTCATGACCTAGCAAACCACACATATTTAAATATCAGCTGCGTTCTGATAGAAATCGATTTGTCACATTAGTTCTGTCAAGGTCACACATCATTTTGAGCATGCACAAGGTTTACAGCCTAGGCAGATACAGTAAAGCAATCATTAAACAATTGGAAATTTGGCCACGCCATTGAAAGTTTCAATATACAACTGCAGAGAAAGATTGACATACATCATATGTGTCCACCAAAGCCAGGAAGGAATTTGGAAATGCCAGCGCATATGACGTGAATGCAGCCAACTCACTTAGATTTGTTTCACGAAAGGTACCACGCAATGAACCAGCATCCTGAGAATATCATAATGACGATCTTTAGTTGTGATAGTTCAACATATGGTGTTACTAACTAGAAGTTCTACAACGTATAGTAAATTGTATAACTAAAAATTACAGAAGATATCATCTCCACTTGTTAAGCAAGACAATGTTCATCTGTACACCTTAATCCTGGCAAGCCAATTCTGCACCAGAGAGACAAAGTCTTCGCATTTGTTTGAACCATCAGAACTAGCGAGTGTCCTGTCAATGATGTCATCAAGACCCTACAGACATATAATATATTAGAGAAAAAATACTGTTACAAAATATGTCCAATTTCTTGGCAAGAACAAGTAATGATATAGATGCAAGGCTCAATGGCTCATGATGTAAAACATTTCATTAGTCACGACTATGAACTTGATACCTGGCTGCCTCTAACACTAGGGCATTTGAATATCAATGAGAAGGGATGGCCATCTGTTTTGGTAAGTGAAATATGTTCATCTAGGCAGTCAAAACATTGCTGACCAGAAGGTTTTGATTTTTGACCTGACTAAGTGTCTATCTGGATGTAAACATCCTTCCTCATGAATGATACTTCTAAATTGGTGCAAAGCAAAAATCCAAATAACTCCCGAGTATCAGAAATATTACCACTAACCATGAAAGAGCTCACGAATGCATGAGAATGAGTCCCACGTATTGGTATCCCAAATAACCATCCTGCTGCAACATTGCTGCTCATGTTGTAAAAGCGTGTCAGAGTATTATTGCAGTAAGCTTTTTTGTATAAGCATTGTAGGATTTCAGCTTTCACGTCAAAGTCGTCCAAGGATAAATATATTGTGTAAGAATATTTAATATCTACAAAAGAAAAAACTGATGACGGCCAGATAGATATCAGGACACACAGAACTGTATAGCCAGAGAGATTTGTTCATTTTGTAAACCAGACCTTGTTGCATCAAATCCTCCCATATAACAATATCTTGATGCACTGATTCCTCCATCAGGCCCCTGATAGATGTGTGGCTATAAGTTCATGTGAAGGTTAATGGATGACAAACATAGCAAGACAAAAGGTCAAAAGTAAGACTCACCTGGGCCCTTCTAAGTCCAAATTCAAGTAAATTCTTTGACTTCCCTGCTACAAGTCTGTGTCTTGCCGCGTTTGTAGTAACCAAGGATGCATAGTTGACCAGACTTAAAAATGGTGTTTCAAGAAGTTGAATAACCTAGGACAAAAGAAAATTCAAGACATTTTTTTGAAGGAAAAAAGATCAATCTGTGACATCAACGTTTAGGAGTGCTGGATAGAGACATATGTTGGACAAGTCAATCTGTGACAACTACTGCTATGGATTCTAGCTGCTAACTCACTCCTGATACTTACCGCAACAGGTCCTTCAATTATCATCAGTGGAACTTTAGGGAATACAACAGAACCCTCAGGGATGGCATAAACCTCAACATCTGAGCAGTCAATTGAACTAAGGTACTCAAAGAAGCCGTCCTATCAGAATAAATAAATATTCATTAAAAGCTGCCAAAAGATATTAATAGAATTACCAAAACACCAAACATGTTAGTGACAACTATAACATTTTGTGTATTTCGTCTGCTCCTGAGCACTTGGGAGGATGGACCCCCTCTTCCCTTCAGTTGTATGAACACTCAAAATGATTTGCCCATTCATGCATGAATTTGATGAGCATAAGATTTATAGAATGCAGAATGTCACATCAATTTTCTCTACAAGTTTGGAATTCCTACCTCGCATGTAGGCATGGCAGATCGCAGGAATGTTATTTCCGTATCTGTTAACTTGAAGTTAGCAATGAATCTTATACACTCCTCAAGGCCACCGAAGATGGTGAATTCACCACCAAAGGGATTTTTCCGGAAGTAAAGATCAAAGCTGAAAATATTAAAGGTGACAGTAAATATTAGCAGGTATTTCTTTCAAGACAATATATCAGCGGGTACAAGAGTATTGTATTTGATATATTCAATCTGAAGATTGACAAACTGAAGAAGTGATGTGGTGACATACAATCTCATACTCCGTATTGGATAATTAGATTAGTTATAACCTTTGCAAAACCTTATGGTGGTTGACTTTTTAATGCACATGGATTTCTCAATTTCTCCTCTATCTGTTCACACGTCACAGTACATGACAGGTGATAGTGTTCTATATGAGTTCTTAAACAAGGTTAAAAAGGACACTATGTTCACTTTATTACATCAGCTATGATGACATATATCTACCACTTTACATACATGTTGTTCAAACAACATCTGCATACAGAAAAATCTCGAATCGAAATACCCGTGGTTACAGTTAAGTGGATCATCAAATTGAGAAAAAAGCTAGTTGGAAATCTCGAATCCGCACCGCACATGAATTCACATAACACAGATCGAAAACTCAGGACCAATAACCAATTGGGCCTCTTCCACGCCATATCCGAGCATTCACCAAAACCGATCGTCCCTCTCCTCCTCCACTGTCCCTAAATCACCACCCCGTCGCATGAGCTTAAGAGCTGACGAGCACGACGGATCGGATAGCAGCGGAAACACGCGTCTAAAAAAAAGGATGGATTCATGGAGAGGGGATCGAGGAGGGGAAGGGAATGAGGGATCCTGACACGGCGCGGTCGAGGTGCTTGCCGGCCTTCCAGTAGGCGTAGGCCATGGTGAACTGGTAGAGGTCGGTGAGCAGCGGCGTCACCATCGGGTTCGTCGGCCGCGGCACCCCTCCTCCGCCCCCCGCCCCGTTCGCCGCCGCTGCCGCCGCCGCCGCCATTATTCTCGGTGGTGGTGGCGGTGCGCGCGTGCCGCTCGTGCGCCGGAGCACTCGAGTGGTAGGTGGAGACTCACACTGGAGAGGTAGGAGGTGCGAGGGGCCAACATTCGCCTACCGTTGGATGCGCGACACGTGGCACCCGTTTTGATGGGCCAAGACTTCCTCGTAAATGGGCCGAAGTTAAATTGGGCTTTCTAGAAGCGACAGTATACACTGCGTTATTTAAATTTCAGTGTCATTATCCCAAAAAAGGAATATCCGTAACCTAAGTTTAGATCCTAAATGAATTAATTGATTTTGTTTACTTGTCGATGTCTTTGCGTATGCGGCATGGGTGACCTCGTCGGCGACGGGGCCGCGCCGGCGGCGGCGGAGCCAGCACCGGCAGCGGCAGCTTGTAGATGGACGAGGCAGAAGGACAAGTTACTGGAGACGCTGGTGGCGCGATGCGCCATGAACCGGCAGTGCGTGGGCGGCTGGGACGCCATCGCCGCCGCCTTCGGGGACGACAGGACGGCGGCGCAGGTGGAGCAGCGGTACGGGGAGATAGCCGCGGAGGTGAGACGCGTCATGGAGGAGCCCTGGGATGCGGAAGACCCTGCAATTGCAGCAGCAGCCGCCGCCGTGCCGGCGGCGCCGGTGAAGCATGCAGCGGCGGGGCCGGGGAGCGATGGCGGCGGCGAGGAGGGGAAGGTGGTCGTGGAGAAGAAGTCAGGGATATGGAGTGAGGAAGAGCACCGGTACGCACTATAAAAAAACATTTTTCCTTGTACACAAAGTGCCATAGGTTTCAGACGGGCCATAAGTGGTCGTTTCTAGAAAACCGATCCCCTGTGGGACGGATCGCACACATGAATGCATTATCATATATATACGTACACAGTACACCCGCTTCCCTCGTTTTATTTTATTTTCTTCTACAAAAGGAATTATAAAAATACACGTTGGCTAGCCATATTCATTAACACAGCATATGTGCCTTAATTAGAATCAACTTTCTGTCTCATCCTGATACAGCTTTTAATAGGGAAAATGACCAAAGTATTTGTTGGTAGGTGGATAAGATATGTTAATTAAAGAGATATAAAACTTCTTCATTAAGAAACAGTAATAGGTAAGATGGTAAAAATAATTCAATTTGTTTTGAAATTTAAACTCTACAAAACAACGTATATTTTGGAATACGAAGGAGTAAATGTTATAACATATATATTGGCATTTGGCAGGCAGTGCCTACGAGGGATTGAAGAGATCGGGCACGGTCGTTGGACACAGATATCGATAGAGTATGTTCCATCAAGGACACCGATACAAATTGCCAGCCATACCCAGAAGTATTTTCTCCGGATGGCCAAGCCCAAGGAGGATCGCAAGAGGAAGAGCATACACGACACCCCCTATCATCTTCATCTGCCTAATGCTGCTGATGCTCACGCTCACCAACAACAACAATAACAAGAAGCTCCAGTTAGTGATCATCCCGTTAGTTGATACTAGCCGTTAACTACTAGTGATCTTTACATGCATGCAGCATTGGTGTTTTGTTTGCATTGCATGCATGAGTCTAGCTACAAACAGTAGTTACTAATGGTTGTATTATTTGCTGCTTAATTGGCCAACAGTTATGTATCAGACCAAAAATTAATTATGGTTTCTTTAGGCTTAATAAGGTTTGAATCTTTTGATTGGGTACACAGACACAAGTCACACAAGGCTTCACTATGCGACTGGGCCGACCAAGAGGGATCTGGGCCAGTGTGGCCCAGAAAAGCTCACTGTTATCACAAGGAGAGATTACTGTAGCCCAAAACTGCACACGGCCCACATGTTGAACAGACAAGCAACAGCCAACGGGTGAGTGAGCACTCAACAGACGGGGACCAATTTTTTTTTGTTGGCAACAGTTTGTCTTTGTCGCCTGGCTTGTGTAGGCCATTTTGATCAAGATTGTAGGTTTAAGCTCCTTTGTTGTTCACATCACCAGATTCTCATCAGATTCAGTTTCCAGCCGGCCAAACCACGAAATGATTCAGGTATCAAATTGCAACACTGACATCATTCCATCTGCATGTCCTGCATATGTCAATACGTTATGAATGGAGCAGCTCATTTCAGTGTCACATGCTGCATTCAGTCCCCAGATCAGTAATATTACAGAAAGAAAATTCTTCAGATTGATTCCAGTCAGAACAAGCTGCATTCCATTTGTATATGCATTTTTCAGTCCATCCATATTCCACACTGATCTGAACAACTCCTCCATATGTAACACTCTCCAATACTGCCCAGCAACTATGAACAACCACCAAATTATACAGCATCTCATCAGACCAAAAAAATGGGAAACTGCGTCTAATAATCTCTACTCTGACCTCTGCTTCATTGGCTTCATTAGGATTTAATTAGCCATGTACTAATAATATATCTGCACATCGTTGTTTTCTGGGGCACCTGAATGAGACGAGATTACCCCAACGGTAGGTTCTTTCGCCACACTCCAAGAAGTAGTGAGGCAAGCTGGGAACAGATGCAGGCTGAATCTGAAGCCAAAGCCATTTCGCTGTCGTTTCCTTTGTCACCGAACGTTTGACACCACTGCAGACACTAGCCAGCCACATGCACGCCCGCTGAGTAGCTTGACAACCAAACAAACAAACATCAAGCATGTGATCCTCCTCTTCCTCACTTTCTTTTCCTCTCTCTCTTATTACACACACAATGGCATAGTGGGTGAAAGAGAGATTGGCTTGTGTTCATCAGCTGGCCTGGCAGATCTGAATTTTTCTGACAGGAGACAAAGGAAGGGGGCAGCAGAAGCTACAGGAAGAAGACGAATGTGCAACTTTTTTTTGGCGAGCTGACAGGTTGCCATCGTGCGCCATTTCTTGCGTTCTTTACTGAAACGCAAAGCCATTTTGCTGCCACTCGAATACTCGATTACTCTATGATCTCTAGCCCTTCTTTGCTTTGACTAAAGTAGTAAGTAGAAGTAGCAGAAGAACCAAGTGATGAGGCGTTGCTTGCTCTGTCAGAGATCAGAAGGTTCGGTTCTTTACGTATTCAGAGCGCGATCATTGTAGTGATAGATTTGTTTAGTTGGTTAGTGGGCGTGATGGTTGGAACATGCATGATGGCCAACTTTCAGAGACAGAGGGAGAATCTGATGTCATGCTAATTATCTGTTAAATTATTCAGACAAGAGTGAAATAAAGAGGTGGCACACTGTACTGTACTGCAGCTTGTTCAGAAACTTGGATTTGGAAATATTCCATTTCCCACGAGGTAGCTGTTGGACCACATTTTTAATGTTTTCTGTGATTTATGATAGTTTAATGAACACAAACATTAAACATCTTTATTTTATAAAGGATCAAAATGGACACAATTGCTTCAAAACATTGTCTGATCCTTTGGGTCCTTGTGTAATGTTAAAAATCTTGAAAAGTATCATGCACAGGGAGTGGAAACAATACATTGTATATACTGCTATTAAGAGAGAGAGAAAAATAATACACAAGCCCGTGTTTATGGACGGCATGTGGACTGACGGGCACATGTAACTTGTAAGTACTCTTATAAATACAGGCTACAGCTACAGCTAGCTGTCTGTATACATAAACCTGCCTGTCAAGGATGATGCGTCAAATTCTCATGCCCTAACAAGTTGCTTCCTTTTATCTACAAAATACTCAGAATTGTATAGTAGAAATCTCTGGAGTTGTTTTCTGCATGCAATTTCCAACCAGCCGTTCGGAAGACTGCACCTAAAACACATGGTAAAGTCCGAGGGACTCATCTTTTCGCTTATACTTATACTTATCAGTCAAAATTTAAATTTTCAACTTTAAATTTATAGCCAATTTTAAGGTTTTTTCATCGAAGTTTATTTTTTCAGCCTTTACTTTTATATCGCTAAAAACACATCATAATTTAATTTTTATTTACAAATATGCCGTTTCGCTTATTCCGCCAATAAGCGAACGATGGCTCCGTCAATATATAGAGGATGTGTATCCCAAGCCTCCAGCCGCCTTGACACGTATATTAGCTACCGTAGTATTCTTAGGTTAAACCATCCTAACTTTGGCTAGATTTATATAAAAAAAATACACCAACCACTGTGACATAAAATTAGTTTCGTAAAATCCAGAAAATATATATCGTGATAGTTTGTTTATATGTTATTAAAAATATTGGTATATCTTTAATTTTCTGTAAACTTGATAAAAAGTTAAAATTAAACTTTGACTAAAACTAAAATAACTTGCGATATGGAACGGTGGGAGTAGTAATTAGTAAAAAAAAATTACCTCAAAAAAATTAGTAAAAAAAAACAGTGGGTCGCTCGATCTCAGTTAGATTCTGATCAAAGAGAATCGAAGGGTACATACGTACTCGGTACTCCTTTTTTTTTTAACTGTTCCCATGTCGAGTGGCCCACCGTGGATGGATGCATGCTTAATTACTCCTAGTTAAGCAAAGTGTACTAGCTGTAACCTGTTGCGAAGCTAAGAGCATCTCCAGCAGAGACCCTAAATACAATTCTTAAACAGTTTTTAGGTGCTAAGGACAAAAAATAAACTCCAGCAAAACCCTTACTATATGCCCTAAAATAGGAAGGACCTCAAATACCCCTCCGCAGCCCCTAGGCCTGGGGGCTGTAGACCGAGGCCCTATCGCCGTTTTTCTACGCGGGAGGAAATTTCCTGGCGTGTGGTGTCTGTCATCCCTCCCGCGGAATCGCTGCCACGGCGCCGATCTTCGCCAGCTCGCTGGTTTCGCCGCTCGTGGCCGACGGTGCGACCATCCAGTACCTCCACCGGCCACTGCTTGTCGTCCACATGCCCACTTGCTTGTTTTTTCATGGTCCTTGATCAGTTCGCACACTGATGCACTATATGGTAGACAAGAATGTTCTGAAATTCATGACCATTAGAAACATGTTCTAAACAATCCTGCTCTCGATTGGTTTATGGCTAACTGTGGTTCTAAATGATCATGGCATAAAAATTATTGTTCTGTTCCTTTAAAGTTTGTGGTGCTTGGTAGGTTGAGACAATTAGGCTGCTTGCAATAATGCAGTAGTTCCTTCAAAGATTATTCTGCAGTGTTGTTCTTTTGTGTCAGTTGTGAGTTGAAGTTTAACTTCAAGGTTTTTTTTTCTAGGAGGATTTAAGCTCTTTCTGAAGTTTCTCAGATAGATTAGATTGGAAAAGGTATAGAGTTAATTTTATCTATTGATTATAGTTCTTATTTAATTGAACTACGTAGTGTCTTGAATACTTGCCGGTAGGATTTCACTCCCATGTTTGAGAATTTTGAATTTGAATTATGGTATTTAAAATTATGGATTTGAATACAATTGAATTCTATGCATTAGAAATATTTGTATTTGAATTATTACTATGTTAAACTAGGTGTAAGCATAGAGTATAATCAGAAATACAAGAGAAAAAGAAATGGGGGCTAAGAAATAGGGTCTGCTGGTAGAGTTGGAGGTAATTTTTGAATTCTTAGGAAATGGGGACAGCCCTCATTCAACCTTTGAGGACTCTAAAATAGGGACTACTGCTGGAGATGCTCTAAGCAAGTTAATGGCACATGTGATCCGATTACGATCGGTCCAGCTGGAGTTAATGGACATTGGCCACAGAGCAACCAATGAACAGTGCCAAATACTCTTACTACTAAATATACTGTTTTCAACCAGGTGATAGTACAGTGAGTGAATCCGAATGGATGAATTAAGCTGTGGCTTTCACTTCCATTAATTAATCATGTATATGCACCCATGTGTAATCTCCTGCCGCACATGTACTGTAGATTCCATCCTGGCCGTCGAAGCATCAATTCGCCTGCTCGATCGATCTGCCGTCCGATGCATCCATGGTACCTGCCCCCACAAGTCTTTCTCAGTTTAGCTGTTGTTCTGGTAGATATCTGTCTGTAATATACTTTTATTAAATAAAAATAGAATAATTCAGTAGGGTTTATTTCATTAAATTAAAATATAAGTATTTCTAGCTATGTACTTGAACATTATCTGTTTAGATAAATATATACAAATATTTATATTTTACAATGGAGAGAGTATTAGCAAGCAGCAGCTGGCCCTATTGAATACTGATAATTAACGATAATTGAAAGTATTGGCGAATTGCACACGTATGACGTATGCTAGATTGCCTTTTTTCTTCGGTTCGTTAGGACGTCACATCTGTAGTTTAGTAACACAACCATGCACGTTTCAATGATTCATGAACGCCATGCACGACAAGGACTCGTATGAGCTGTCCAAATCTGAAGTCCCCTTTGTAGGTAAAGGGTGACCTGAAAGCTAAAAACATACCACTGCTAAAATATGTTCTTTTCTTCGCCACATGGCATGCTTGAGATTTAAGAGCTGGAAATGAAGGTAGGGAACCCAGTGACCTTGTCTAACCTAGTACTACTAG